AAATTGACAAAAAAAATTGAGAATTAGTCATGGCTACATATTTTTGGCCAGCACTGTAATTGCACAAAAGTGTAAGATGTACGTGCAGAAATCTGAGTCACAAGCGGGGCAATGTTCACAACGTCGACAAAATATGGGGAAAATTACCATACTGTAATGTATGCACCCTTACAGAAATTCAAAATTTTACACATGTACGAAAGTCTCATCATGCTTTTCAAGAAAAAATCCTAAAATTAAGCAAGAAAGATGGTTTCATTGAAAATGTGTATATTAGTATTAGCATAAAGCCGCTCTATAGTGGAACTTGCTGCCCGCAAAGCAGTTTTTTTTACCCACCCAAGTCAAGAAGTATACCCGAATTTATTATGTTTATCTAAAAGTTCCATTTCTGTACTTAACTCACAACTTTAGGAATCGAAGCACCTCCTTGTTGAAACAAGACTTGAGCAATGTGTCCCCATTCACGATCTTCGTCGTCGCAACAATAATATCGTACGGACCTGTGTACAATATAGAACATAAGTGAGGCACGAGTTTGGTATATTCCCCACAAACTCTAAAAGAATACTTACAGTCAGGCTGGCGGGACAAATGACGGAGTGCAGCGATCTCCATAAAAGTCACACCCCCAAGATAGTAGACAAGAAGAACCTTGCGTTCTTCACTCCCAAAATTGTCTATCTTGGAAGCGGTTGTAGGGGCGACCGGGTCGTCACCTACACTTTTGCTTGCCGTCTGCAAGATTTCCCCCGAGGGACCAGGAAGCTGACGCAGACCTTCCTGCACTGCACTCCAGCCACGAGGCTTGATTGCACTCTCTACGATACGCACAGAGAGTGGAGCATACCCAGCGGCATGACTTCTGCTGACATAGGCACAATCACGGGGATCGCGCGGGTCCACATCCTCGTTAAGTAAGCGAAATGCTTTTCGGGCAAAGCCAAAGCCGCTAGCCTCATTCCACATAGTATCGCGCCGACTGAGCAAGCCAGCCTTTTCCAAGTTGCTTAGTGCTAACATCATTTCAAAGCCGTACGTTTGTACTAGTTCGCGGCTCAAATGTGTGTAACTTTTCGTCTTGATGCCACCAGCGGCCACAGACTGAAGGCAGAATTGTCGGAGCACGCCAAGCACCGGCTCCTGATCCCCAATACGCTCTTCAAGCTGCTCGAAGATAGTTTCGCCTGTAAGTACCAAATTTTCCACATCCTTGAGATCGCGAAAGCGCTTCGAGTCCGTCGTCTTTTTGATAAGCTCAGCTAGATTGATGTGTTGCTGAAGCAACTGGTAATTCTGTTTTAAACCTGGAATACGCTTTACGAATTCGCGAATTTCGCTGATAGATGCGTCACGATTCTTGCGAAACTCGTCGTAGCGCTCGCGAATCTCTCTCGCCTGTCGCTGTAAATTCATTCCAAGACGCTCGACGTGGTAGTCCCTCACTTCTGCATACAATTTGTCATTAGAATTTAAAGGCACTGATACCTGAGCAGGTCGATTAACGTTGCTGTTTGAATTAGGTCCGTCGTCGTCAGCAATTAACTCCGAATCAACAGTGATAAAGCCGTGTGTGATACCTAAGATTTCATCTAATAGTCCTTCATATGTCATCGGGGAGCACATGGGCGTGACCAGGTCCACATTGCGATCAATGAGCACGACCATGTCGATCTCGGGGTCCAGCACAGCGATGGGACTGCCTGCCACCTCTTGTTCCCGACGAAAATGCGCCATCATCTGATAAACGATTTTGGCCATTGTACCTTTATACTTGACGTGCGGGATCATACCGAACACAGTCTGTAGCTTAATAAGCGAAGCTGCAACAGTGTGCAGATTAGTCTTGTCACCATCGACGTAAAATTCTTTAAAGCACGCATCTAGCTCGAGTGTAAGCACGTCATCGTCAAAAGGAATGAGATCGAGCTTGTACTCGCCTACACTAAGGCTGCCAAACACTCCTTCTTTCTTAAGCACTTCATCGCAAACGAGCGTACGACGACTCACGTAATACAGAAAAAAACGTTTTTTGGCACTTGAAGACTTGTCTGCTCCCAGATCGCGAACATATTTAGCCGCGTAGCGCGCAGACCGCACTGATGGACGCACGAGGAACAGTACACACTCGCAGCTAGTTTTGACCGTCTTACCAAATGCGTGAAAATCCTTGACACCATGATTCTTTAACACCGCTGTACCGTCCACAAGAACGTGGTTGAGGGGCCCGTTAAGCTCCGGATCGAGTACAAAGCAGATATCCTTGCCAATTGAGTCCAAAATCGAAAATAGCTCGCGTCGGGAATCCTCGCGTAGCACCGCTAGGTTTAGTACCCCGTTTTCCAGCGTACACGCCTTTGACATGATTATTAATTATTCCCGAAAATAAGATAAAAAACTTTCTTATCAAAGACCCTTTCATTATTATGAGCTAGACTTATGTCATTTAAGACGGTTTCCAAAGCTGCTCGCTCAGCGGCTCCACAGCGTGCACTGCATAGAAAGCACTTTTCTTCATCAATCGATAGTACAACAGTGCTGACACGCGAATTCATTCACGCGGCGCTGTATGCTAAGGAGGAGGGATATTTTACGACACAACAGCGGGAGGTGCTACACGCACCAACGCAAGGCATCGACTTTGGCAACTTGTGGGGCGCAAGAGAGTACCGCAACGTAGTAGCAAAGCTGTATATGGATAGTGCTGAGGCGTGGCTTACACCTGTAGAGATATTCGCACCATTTTACTCCCACGCAGTGGCGCGCTATATGCTCAATTCGCCCTTCTTCCGCCAGCCCCTCAACATTTACGAAATTGGCGGTGGCTCTGGATCTAATGCGCTGCACATCCTTAACTTCTTGAAGGAGCAGGTGCCCACAGTATATGCAAACACTAAATATACGCTCATCGAGATCAGCTCCGTTATGGCCGAGCGTCAGCGCAAGCGTGTAGCCGCCGTGCATCCGCAACAGTGCACAATTGTTAACGAAGACATCTTGAATTTCGCAGAAGCACACGCACCTATTACTTCAGAGTGTTTTTTTCTGGCTTTTGAAGTGCTAGACAACTTGCCGCATGATAAAGTCTCGCTACAAAATGGTCAATGGTTTGAAACCGTTGTAAGAAATCAAAGCGGAGCAAACGGTCCGATGCTGGAGGAGGCAAGGCGACCCATCGAGGACATGCTTATACGCGAGACGCTTCTTCACTTTGGCTGTGACCTGCCGCTGCGCGTTTCATACAAGAATAACACAGGTCTTGCACGGCATGTGAGACGTCTGCTGGGCATTCAAGACGTAGCATTCACCTCGGCATTTATCCCGACAGGTGCCATGCAGCTGCTGAAAACACTCCGCATAGCATTTCCAAAACACCATCTCATTGCTGCCGACTTCGACTCGCTCCCGGCTCCAGAGCTTGATACAAAGTCTTCTATAAAAGCTATCTCCCACCCACTAAGTCCTACAGCTACATCGGCTGGAACTCTCTCTGCTGGAAATGCACCGCTTGTGGCGTCGAAAATTACTGGTGTGAAATAAGAGCTCATTCGTCAATACTTGAGATGCGCACTAATGAATCTTCCTGTCGGCTCATGTCTGTAGGCGTGACGCAAGACCACGACACGTACCTGGTGCAAGGCGGAGTCGCAGACATTTTTTTCCCTACTGATTTTAGCAAGCTTAAAAAAGCATATTGCTTCGCTCTTCAGCGCGAGCCCGACGAGGTGCAGTTGCGATATCAAGTCGATTTAATTTCTTACTCTTTGACTCACCGTCCTTACTGCATACGTAGATTTCAGTCGTTAAGTCATCCACCTTTTTGAAGGAGTTTGCCGATGTTGAGAAGACCAAAACAATTACCCGGTATGTCGTCGCATTAGTTGGTCTGATCATTTCTGAATTGACTTTTGGTTTATGGCGAATTTCAGGTTCAACCCCTTACTTGAAGACTATTCCAACACGAGCTTTATTTTATCTTAGTGCTATCCTTTCCGTACTACAAGTCACGTTTCGAGATGATTTGAGAAGAATTGTTACTCTTTCACTCAAAATTCAATAAATACGATAGACTAACGCTTATGAGCTTGCTGGCGCAAAAGCTGTGAAAACAAGTTTGGCACAATCTTTTTTTGTCTTAGAGCGTCACGAGCTTGATTATTGCATCTGATGCACATGATGTACGTTGACGTAGGTATGTCACTCGTCGCGGTTCCCAGCATTTGAACCTCTTTCGATAAGTGCTCCTAATCCCCCAAATATCACGTTCAGAGATTGTGGGGTTAAACAATCCGTTTGCGCATCCTACCTCGCAGTACGATGTGACACAAAAGCGACAAGAGTACTGGGCAATGATACCGCAATCCTGGCAGCGGTGACGTGGACACACCCAAGTCTTTCCATCCGGCACTTCGTAGCCCAGACATTCTGCAGACTCACAAAGGTATAATGAGGCGACAATAGGAATAATGATGTCTCAAAATCAAACCTGATTCATTTTACCTTCATGGTACACCTTCGGACATCGCGCAAATGCACCATTCATTCCTTTCCAGTCACACTCGATCACATCCCCACCATCCTTGCAGCAGAAACACACGTCTTCCGATTCTACAAATTGAGCCTTCATTTCACGCTTTAACAAGAACTTAAAATACATCACTGCATAATCAATCGGCTCCATTCCAGATGTAACTTCGGCTAGTTCGGAAGGTTCCGGCTCGTCTGTTTCCGCTGTAGTGTGATCGTCGATCCTATGGCATCGCTTTCGCTTCTTTATCTTTGTTGATGTCGTCGGAGATGTTACTACAGAGGATATAGCTCCAATCGTCTCGTTTCTAGCAGATGAAGCATTGTCGTTATCTATTGAGCAATTTGGACACAACCAGTTTTTGGTCCGCCACACCTTGTGTGACTGTGCTCTACCAATCAATTTATCGATACAGGGCAAGCAGTACACCCGCGTACAGAGTTTATGAGTGCATACTTTGAATGACTTAGTAGGCAGATCTTCCGTCAATCGAGCGCACAAACCACAATAAACATCCATTATACCCTTTTTCGCCACTGGTGGCGCCGACAACCGCTTCTGTAGCACGTGTTGCAAACACACTTTGCAAATATACACCACTTCACCTTTTCCGTCCTATTTCAATTCAGCACAGCAACATTTTGTCAAAATTACAGCCATAGCTAAATTTGCTTTGAGCTTGCAGGCACCTTAAGCACAAACGGATGTTTCGAGAACGCTGGCCCCTCATTCATCCTTTGCATGCGACACAAGACGCAAATTATTTTGTTTGCAGGCGTAGCAGCCATGATCTTCGGCTTATTCTTGATCTGAATTTGCTTCGGATTCTTGTTTGGCTTCTCAAGCTTGTCAATCACCTCCCGCTCTTGGCGTTTCTTTGCCTTGCTGGACGCCACTTGCAGCCGAATTCTTTCCTCCCCACTCCGCTTTTTAGCTTCTTGTATAATTTCCAGCTCCATCATGACTGATCTTTGTGTCAGTGCGTACTGCTGCATACGCGTAAAAGCCTCAAATGTACGTGCAAAGAGGTCGTACTCAAAGTCAGAGCGGAAGTGGAAGCAATAACAAATTCGCTTAGGTAAATGTACAATTTCGGTAGTCCCAGTTGTGGGTTCTGAAGACGCGTCTATCTGAGCAGACAAACTGGTGGATGCCACAAAAAGCGGAGTATTCTTGTGTTTGGCATCAGCCGTGATCTCGTGCGGCATTATAACAGACTGGGGAGGGTACGAGTACCTTTCAAGAGGCGCACTACCCACTGTGCGGCTTTTAGGAGGTCCAAAAGTGGATCTGACACCCCACAGCAACGATTTCTCCTCGCGCTGCAATCTCACTGTGGCCAAGCGTGCCACCTGATGTAACTTGTGCGTAACAGAGTCCATCACCACTAACTTTTGCTGACTCCACTGGGTTAATAAATTCTCATTTACAGAGGTCAATCGCGGCGGAAGCATGAGCTTAGCATCAGGCGCCAAGACGTTAAAGCCCTTCTCCGCCTCCATAAGCTGCAGCAGCGCACCTCGGAACGCCATTAACGTCCGAACTGCTAAAAGATGTCATTATTAAGAGAGATGATAGTGACAAAATCTTAAGAGAAACAAGCAAATGCCAAAAATTAAACATGTAACAAGTGTAAGTATCGATGAGATGTGATCGCGGAAAAGCAGCAGCCCGACAAGACGAGCTCGTGCGCTGCCATCGAACCAACGGACGCAATTTCTACTGGCCAGAATGCCAATGTAAGGTGAGATAAAGCAGATTGCTATAAGCTAAAGCCGCACGATGTGCCTTTACTACACCAGCAAATGTTTTTTGTTTCTTCGTCAGCGAAGATGTTCGGTATCTGTTTGCTGACATAAACAAAGATTTTTATTAATTTTTGCTTAACTTTGCTCTTTGATTTCAGACCAGTAGTGTAGACTTAGCCCTTGAAGAGTAGCGGCAGCGGGCTGTCGTAACTTTGCTTAGAGGTAGCTAAGCTAAGGTCACCGACCTCACGTTTATTTCAAGGGTAAGCGGACTGTAATTAATTGTTGTAGTTGAGAGCCGCTGGTGTCTGGTGCCCTAGGTTTTCCTAATTAATATAGTAAGACATAATTAGTTATAGCGAGACCTAATTAATATAGTAATATGCATTACTACTGGCAATCCTGCGACGTGGTGGCTTCTTGTTACAGTGTAGCCACACCACTGTGTCATTACACTAACTGTGAAATACATACCTATGTACGCTTGTGCGATCCGCCCTTTCCTACAAAGGTACGTGTAACCCCGTTACTTTCCCCCCATTAAAATTGTGAATATCCTCAATTCACATTTAATGTTCGCTTCATACGAGGCTCGCGTGTCTGAGACACCTTCACGTTCATAATAAAAGCTTAAAACCTTCTCCGCTCTATGAGCACTGTGGTGACGACCCAGTTTAGCTGGTAGCGAGGGCGTCCGCGGGCAAAGATCTTCTTCTACTTCTGCACAGAGTGTATTTTCCGGATAGTACGTCCGCGGCTTCACGGGAAGCACATTCCAGGCCCTCGGCAACTGGGCGCGACACAACGCGCCAGCCCCGGGCGACGGGTTTCCTCGTTGAGGAGTTGGAGGAAGTCGACTACAAGACGGACACTCCTTCCCCAGATGGGACGACGAGGAAGATGAAGTGTGCCAACGGCGCGACGTGAGCCCAGCTCAAATCCTGCGGACACCATGTCCGTTTCCCGACCTCTCGGCTTCCGAGGGAAAGTGGTAGTATTACCAATCGCCTCGACGAGGCACAAGAGCAGCAATTTGAGGCTGCTCTCATGGCGGCTCTCCTGCGCTCGTATCCACGTTCTGTCTTAAACCCTCGTGTGGCATACGACTTCCTCTCGGCGGATCTTGTTACTGAAAGGAAAGACGCGATCACTCGATCGGTAGGTGTCTACGAATTCGGGCCTACGGTCACTACACAAGCTCAGCTTGATCAGCAGAAAGCTCTGCGAGCTCGAATTTTGAAGATCTTAATTGATCAGTACTGCGCTCGACTTTGAGCTCAAAAAGGAGGTGCTCCTGTTCCCGCAATACGGATCTTCTCTGAGGCTTTCGCCCCTGGCGAAACCGCTGCAGATGAGGAAGAGCTCTTCAAGCGATGGGTGCAGCGACACTGCAAACTTTCTTCGTTGTCTACCTTCCAGCGGAGCCACAAGGAAGTGGACGTGCGCGTTGAGCGCCATCTTCGATTCAAGCTTGCCAAACTCAAGGCGCAACGCCGTCTTTCTGCGTACCGTCGCCCTGTGACTCATGAAATGATCCATCACGCCCCCTCGAGCTCTGTTGTTTTTCACACGGGTGATCCTACGACCACAGCAGCTCAGGGCCATAGCTTGAGATCAGCTCATGGCCCTCCAACTTCCTTGGTTGCTGCCGAGAAACGGGGAGCACGACTACGCGGAGCGTTATGATCATTCTGATCTTATGCGTCCGCGACGTCTGGGTAGTGGCATCTCAAACTCCCACATGTTCTCAGAGTCGGGGTATCCCCGCAACTTCACAAGATATTGGGTTCAACTCTGTCAACGACGTCGACCCACAAGGCGCTCCACGTAATAGCGGACGCCAGAATAGTCAGAATAGTCAGCAGCGGACAATGACGACTTGGTCGATCGCCGTACGGTGACTCGCGATGCTCTCCAAGCTTTGGCAGACAAAGTCCGTCGTCATCAATACTCTGCCGAGCATCTTTCCGAGGTTGCCTACCGCTGTGCGGGAGCCCTCGAGAGCCTGGAGCACTTTGTGCACCGACTGCCTCACGTGGAGGAGTATCGCGCTCTGTCGGAGCGGCTCCTAGCCGTCGAGCAGGCGAATACGTCACTTCGTGCGACGGTGGATTGCCTTGAACCGTTGTAAGCGGAAATTGTTGCACTCCGTGCTTAGAACCATTTGCTGGCTCAACTTCTGGGTGGTCTATCGCCTTTAAGCGCCGCGCCAACGCTTCCGCGTTTACTTGCGCCGGATCCCTTAAGCAAGTCTGCATAAAATACCGGGTGGGTCAGCATCGTTCTTGGAAGGCTTAGCGTATACGTAAGGCCTCGCTTGGTCGCGTCTAATAAATCGTGGACTCTTAAAGACAACAGAAACTGTACGTAGAGGAAGGATTTTAGCATTTAATAAAACCAGGTCTCCGAATTCAATGTTGTAAACATTTCTTCTTCCTTTTCCGTCTGCATATTCCTTCTGCATGTATCGGCTTTCAACCATTGCATCGCGGACGTGTCGTAAGACACTCAGTATGGTAGTTAGGAAGTCTCCGACTTCTTTACGCACGGCGAGGGAGCTGACATCAGCTAGCCGCTCGGCTATTCCTCCCCCACCAAGCCCTGAGCCATGGGATGGCGGCGTCAGCGGGAATTAGCCCGTTCACGTAGGACGGCGTATAACTGGTAGATGAATGCACTGTATTTTCCAGAGCAAACTCTACGAGTAGCAACATAGCGCTCCAGCGCTTCGGCGTCTCAGTGCAGACGCTGCGAAAAATGTCTTCAACAAAGCGATTCAAGCGCTCCGTCTGACCATCGATTTGCAGAAAGTCCGCTGTTGACATAGTCAACTTGGTGCTCAGCACCACTGGGAAGTTTTGGTCTACTGAAGATTGTAGACCAAAACTTGCCAGTGTAGCGTAGGTCTCTATCAGAGACAATTGACTCCGGGAGTCCAGGTTGTTGAAGGACACGATTGGAAAACAGCGTCACTGTACCCAGACCGTCGATGGTGCCCGGCGCTGCCGCAAGATGAGCCACGTTACTCAAACGCTCCACGAAGACCACCACATCCGTGTTGTATGCCGAGTCCTTCGGCAGGCCAAACACAAAGTCCATACTCATTGACTGCCAATACCCGGAGGGTACCGCTTAACTGGCCAGCGGTGCCGCCTCATTCGGAGAGGGTTTGACTCTTTGACACGTCTCACATGTGCGCCCATAAGTGCTTGTCCATTTGTACAGCTTAGGCCACCAGTAGTGGCAACTCACAGAGCTGTCGGTCTTCTCACGACCGAAGTGACAGCTGAGTGAGGTGTTGTGGGCCTCATCAAGGATACGATATTTTAAATCCTTTTTGTGAGAACCCACAATTCGTGGTATATCCGTTGAATCGGCGCTAGAATAAAGCAACCCGTTACTCAACGAATATTGGTGTAACCTTGTCCGAGTTTCCAAACTCTTTGCTTTCGAATGCCGCTAGCAATGCTAAACACATACCATTACCTGCGTATTCGGCGCGGATCAAATCCGTCACTGACTACGTCACCGTAGTGACATGAGCAAGCTCGAAAGCCGGTATGCGTGACAACGTATCTGCCAGCGCATTCTGCTTTCCTGGCTTGTACTCAATCTCAAAGTTATATTCTGTGAAAAATGAGAGCCACCTGGCCATCTTCTGCGAGAGGAGAGGCGCTTGAGTTGAAGTGCGTAAAGACGCATGATCTGTGTATATCACAAAGGCTTTAAGCCAAGAAGTTGAACCCTAAACTTGACAAGTGCAAATTCCATCACAAGAAATTTCTTGTCGTGGACTGGGTATTTCTTCTCCGCAGCCTAATGCTATCAAGATTCGAACGCGATCACCAGATCTCGCCCCTCGGCGTCTGCTTGCAGCAGTGCACAACCGATGGCAAAGTCCGAAGCGTCACAGACGGCACATCAGAGGACGATCGGGGTCTGTCAACGCCAGTATGGTGCATGCAGGAGGCTGTTTTAGACCCTGTTAAAAGCCTCCTGGTGCACGGTGTCCCAACACAATCCCTTTTTCTTTTTAAGGAGATAAGACTCTGGCCGTGCCATTTCCGCATAATTCGCGCTATACTTATGAAAGTAGTTGGCGGGGCCACGCTACTTGCGCAAATCCTTTTGGTCCGTTGGAACCGGTCAGTCCACAATGGCCTTGACCTTAGCGGGATCCGCTCAAAGTCCATGCTTCCCAATGAAGCATTCCAAAAGGGGGATTGTTCAGCACCAAAGATGCACTTATCTGCATTAGCATACGGCTTATTCGTGCGCACGCACTCAAGCATCGCTCTCAAATGGACGATGTGGTCTTCTTCTTCTGTCCTTTCGTGTCCCGCACGACTGTGGAGGAAGATGTCGTCAAAGTATGTCTGTGCATACGCCCGATGGGGCCTAAACAATTGTGTCACGAGACGACTAAATGTAAGAATTTTAAATGTTGCTGGTGTATTTGACAGCCACCAGCCACTCCCAGAGCATCCCGCTCGTAGTACTTACCGCTGTCAGCGGAATACCACTCGCTCTCAGGAGCAATTGGTAAAAAATTGTCAACCAAGTCGAGTGCGATGTACTTTGTACATCCAATACTATTGTTCTGGAGAATATCTTTATAGGAATCGACATCTGTGTCGGAATGGTGACAGCGTTTAGCTCATTATTATCGTGAACGATACGCCACTTGCCGTTCGGCTTCTAGACACAAAACATGGGTTTCGGATGGAGAAACCTGCTCTTACGCACCATTTCTGCCTCGTGGCACATACGAAAAAAAGCGTCAA